CCGGGTACTCTGGTTTCCTCCCACACTCCAAAAGACATGCTGGTAGGTGAATTGGCTCCTGTCTAAATTGTCCCTAGTATGTGTATGTATGAATGTGAGTTAGGGACCTTAGATTGTACGCCCCTTGAGGGTTAGGGACCCCTTAGATTGTACGCCCCTTGAGGGTTAGGGACCTTAGATTGTACGCCCCCTGAGGGTTAGGGATCTTAGATTGTATGCCCCTTGAGGGTTAGGGACCTTAGATTGTACGCCCCTTGAGGGACCTTAGATTGTAGAGGGTTAGGACCCTTAGATTGTACGCCCCTTGAGGGTTAGGGACCTTAGATTGTACGCCCCTTGAGGGTTAGGGACCTTAGATTGTACGCCCCTTGAGGGTTAGGGATCTTAGATTGTACACCCCTTGAGGGTTAGGGACCTTAGATTGTACACTCCTCGGGGGCGGGGACTGATGTGAATGTACAATATATATGTAAAGCGCTGTGTAAATTGATGGCGCTATATAAGTACCTGAAATAAATAAATAAAAGATGAGTACTCTGATTTGAATAGGGGGGGACTAAGACTGCAGTGAAAGGGGTGGAACTGAAGACTCTGTTGTAAAAGGAAGCAAGGGACAGAGGAGACTCATGTGAAAAGGAGGGAAGACCAGGGACTCCAATGTGAATGGTGGACTCTGCTATAACAGGGGCGCCTAAAGTGTGATGGAGGGACCACATATTAGCCTATGGTGCCTTGAGATTTTGCATCCTTTTATAGGAAGCTGTGACAAAAAAATAGGTTGAGAAACACCGAGCATTTGCCTGAAAGATTCCCTTCAAGGGAATATGTATAGTACAGTGTATACAGTGTATATTTCTGGCCCTAGGTGTTTTGCTTCTTAGCAGACTTGAGCTGTGCAGAGATCACCAGTTGGTAGCGGTAGACGGGGGCATTAGAGGGCTGCAGTTTACTCTTCTTTCATTACTCTTCTTCATTTCATTCAGCAAATTATGCTAAGAAGGGTAGGATTGTGGCTTGAACACCTCAGTTAAATGGTGTGAAAGGCAGTAGAATTTTTTTTTCCGCACCGTAAAAGTTTGCAGTCTTTTTTTCTTTGAAGAGCCGCTTATCGGGAGAGGGCAAAACCCCATCTCTAATCCTCCATCTAATTTCTGATGATCAGTGGCGAGTTCAGCGCGGAGCAGTCCCAGCAGGTGGAAGAAGTGTCACGTGAAGCGTGGGCATAAACACAGAACAGGAAACTACAGAAAAACGGAGCTGTCTGGGATTTCGCTAATGATCCCCTTTGCTGCTGCTCTTTCTCCCCGGTAAATTTCACGATGGAATGTGCTGGTCAGGAATCGTCATATGAATACCTGCTCCTCAGCTGGCGCATTCATTGGGCTGTGAAAGAGGCAGGTTCAATGATTTTAAACATATTTGATTTGAATTTAGTTTCTCTGGTTTATTGAAATGTGGCATTAGCTATTAAGTGTGTCTTCTTGCCCATTGTGTTTACCAGAAATACATACAGCCTGACAATTCACTCTGAACATGTTGACTTGTGGATTAACACTGTGTGTTTCCATATCGATTGAGAAGGAAATCAACAGCCTTTGCTCACTGTGAATTTTTGAAAGCTTATTGAGAAGAGAAGAGTTACAAAATTAAAAGTGAAGATTAAAAACTAGAGAGATTAAGGCCCCGTATACAAGGGACACTTCTGAACAATGGAAACTGACTGCTGGAAAACATAGGTTAAAAAAAGTCTGTTTAGCCGCGTTTGCACAACGCATTTATGCGCATTTTTTAAAGATAAGCACAGGAGAACCTCCCAAATGCCCAGAATGCACTGAAAAGTGGCAAATTATTAACTATTTCAGACTGTTTCAGAGAAATACAGAGAGTAGAAGCAGAGACAGCAGTATGTGTTGAGATTAGCTTAGGTATGAGTTACTCATTAACATTTCTTTTGTTTCCAAGGGTGGGAAAGGTGTCTGGTGGAGGGAGTCATTAAGGCCACCTGGCAGAGGGTCTTCATGAGGAATTTGAGGTGCGAATGGTCATTAAAATATCTTTTGTTTCCTAGGTGGGGAGGTCTGAGGTGTGAATGGTCATTAAAATATCTTTTGTTTCCTAGGGTGGGGGAGAGGTCTGAGGTGTGAATGGTCATTAACATATCTTTTGTTTCCAAGGGTGGGAGAGGTCTGAGGTGTGAATGGTCATTAACATATCTTTTGTTTCCAAGGGTGGGAGAGGTCTGAGGTGTGAATGGTCATTAACATATCTTTTGTTTCCAAGGCTGGGAGAGGTCTGAGGTGTGAATGGTCATTAACATATCTTTTGTTTCCAAGGCTGGGGAGGTCTGAGGTGTGAATGGTCATTAACATATCTTTTGTTTCCAAGGGTGGGAGAGGTGGGAGAGGTCTGAGGGTGTGAATGGTCATTAACATATCTTTTGTTTCCAAGGCTGGGAGAGGTCTGAGGTGTGAATGGTCATTAACATATCTTTTGTTTCCAAGGCTGGGAGAGGTCTGAGGGATGTGAATGGTCATTAACATATCTTTTGTTTCCAAGGGTGGGAGAGGTCTGAGGTGTGAATGGTCATTAACATATCTTTCGTTTCCAAGGGTGTGAATTGGTCATTAGAATGTGTGACAAGCTTGGTAGGAGCATCGTGTGTTTAGTGTTTTGTCCATTTGAGTACCTTGAAAACGCTTTGCATAACTGGAAAAGTTTAAAAAAATTTCAAACGCTTATAAATGCAATTTGCCGTGTTTAGCCGCATTTACAAGCGTTTTGCGTTTCAAACGCTGATAAAATCGAATGCTGAATGCAAGTTTTCTGCGTTCAAAAAAACGACTGGAAACTCAAATGCCTGTAAACAACTGTAAATGAAGATGTGTACATGGACACATAGGAAAACATTAGGGAGAGTTCAGGGGCTGCTGAAAAAAACGCTGAACAACTCCTGAACGTCAAATTATCTACTGCATTGTACATGAGCCCTAATGCAAATGGAGATTCTTAGACATGACAGGTGCCCCAAGCATCTCACCTCAATTGGGAGGCTTTTAATCTCCAATCCTGGACAGTCTCGGTGTAGGACCACCGAAAACATAAACATTTTACATATTAAATAATTTGCTTATGTATTTGCACAGGCAACACGCCATTCATTTCAAGAGACATTCATTTCTATTGTCTAAGAACACCTTATCATCCAGACCCACCTCCAGACTCCCAGATACCCCACTGTAGAATACAAAGACTAAGGCTGACCACACACTATACAATTTTCTGTCCAATTTCTGCCCAATTTCCTTTAGATGTACCTTCAATTATGTAGTGCAAGAGCCGGACTAAGTGGATATAACTGAAAGTGTTGTTTGGGTTTGACCTCATATTATATGTTTTTTGGTAAATCTAAAGCAAAAATCTCAAGAAAATTGTATAGTGTATGGCCAACCTAAGGCTCCATGTACATGGGACACTTCTGAACGTTGGAAACTGACTGCTGGAAAATATAGGTTAAAAAACGCCTGTTTAGCCGCGTTCGCATACCGCGTTTATGAGTGTTTGCATTTAGAAGCGTTTTTTAAAGATAACCTCGGGAGACCTTCCAAAATGCCCAGAATGCACTGAAAAACAGTAAAAAATTAACTATTTCAGACTGTTTGAGAGAAATAGAGAGATCAGAAGCAGAGAGAGCAGTATGTGTTGAGATTAGCTGTGTTTTTTTTTTTGTTTGCGGTGTTTGGATGTTCCGGCTCATTTCTGTGCATACATTATTGCAGCAGTATCTAACATATTTTCTTTCATGCGAAACCTCAAAGCATGGTGTGCCAGGAGTCACTTTGGGTGGGGGTCCCATGGAACACAGCTCACTTCGGAGAGGTGGGGAGACCCGTCTCAGCTCCCCATGTCCCTATTATGTGTAAGTCACCTGTGCCTGTTAGGGGTACAGGGTGATCTGTCCTAATATTTGGGTGGGGGGGGTTGTTGATTGTTTAATGCCATGTGATTGCATCCCATTGTTCTATTGTTTGTCTTTCTTGGGAGCAAACTATTATGGGATGTATGTGTTTATGTGTATTAGCTTAGTAGGGGGTGTCTCCAGCAGCCCTCCTTCCTGATGGTACTTTCTGCTGGTGTGAAGTTTGAATATCTGTGTATCTCTTGTAACTAAATGTAGATGTCCCCGCCCTGTGTCATTATGCAGGGAGGGTGGATTGTCCCCCTGAGTGTACAAAAAGTCAGTTCGAGTTTCAAATAAAGAGTTCCATGTTCAGACTGGTGTCATCTAGTCTTGTTTGGCCGGCTGTGGTGTCTGTGGTCGGTGTTCAGATGGGGAAGCCGTATTATAATGGAAGTACCCAAGTGCAGTCTGGGGTCGGTTCCATTACATATGGTGTACCAGGTCCATATGAGTACCGGGAAAACGCTTTGCATGCATTTTTCATGATGAAAAAAGGCTCTGGACAGCATCTGGAAATGGAAGAGTTCAAAAAATTGTCCGTGTCTATAAGCATTTGGAAACGCTGATACAATCTACTCCTGAATGCAAGTTTGGTGCGTTCAAAAAACGACTGTAAACTCAACTGCCTGTAAATGACTGTAAATGATGATGAAAAGCTCCTGAATGTGAGTTTATCAGCTGCAGTGTACATGTAGCCTAAGGCCCCATGTACACGGGACACTTCTGAACAATGGAAACTGACTGCTGGAAAATGTAGGTTAAAAAACATATGTTTACCCGCGTTTGCATAACGCGTTTATGTGAGTTTGCGTTTAGAATAGTTTTTTAAAGAAAAGCACAGGAGAACCTCCCAAATGCCCAGAATGCACTGTAAATTGGCTATTTCAGACTGTTTCAGAGAAATACAGAGAGTAGAAGCAGAGACAGCAGTATGTGTTGAGATTAGTTTAGGTGTGAGTTGCTCATTAACATTTCTTTTGTTTCCAAGGGTGGGAAAGGTGTCTGGTGGAGGGAGTCATTAAGGTCACCTGGCAGGGGGTCTTCATGAGGAATTTGAGGCGTGAATGGTCATTAACATATCTTTTGTTGCCAAGGGTGGGAGAGGTCTGAGGTATGAATGGTCATTAACATATCTTTTGTTTCCAAGGGTGGGAGAGGTCTGAGGTGTGAATGGTCATTAACATATCTTTTGTTTCCAAGGGTGGGAGAGGTCTGAGGTGCAAATGGTCATTAACATATCTTTTGTTTCCAAGGGCAGGAGAGGTCTGAGGTGTGAATGGTCATTAACATATCGTTTGTTTCCAAGGGCGGGAGAGGTCTGAGGTGTGAATTGGTCATTACAATGTATGACAAGCTTGCTAGGAACATCCTGTGTTCAGTGTTTTGTCCATCTGAGTACCTTGAAAACGCTTTGCATGCATTTTTCATGATGAAAAAAGGCTCTGGACAGTAAAGGAAAATGGAGGAGTTAAAAAAAGAATTTCAAACGCAAACGCTTGTAAACACAATTTGCCGCGTTTACAAGCGTTTTGCGTTTCAAATGCTGATAAAATCTACTACTGAATGCAAGTTTTCTGCATTCAAAAAAATAACTGTAAACTCAACTGCCTGTAAATGAAGATGTGTACACGGACACATAGGGAAACATTAGGGAGAGTTCAGGGGCTGCTGAAAAAAATGCTGAACAGCTCCTGAATGTCAGTTTATCAGCTGCAGTGTACATGAGGCCTAACTCTGTACAAGACACTCAAAAGAATTCCATCTTTACTAATACCATGTCTCTACAATGTAATGATGACAAATGAACCTGTTAATATATATAAAAAAAAACCTTTACATTAGCATATAAGCACTTAGAAATGTAATTTACTCATTAGGAAAGCATATAATAATTATTTTTCTTTATCAGTTCTAGCTCACAAAAGATGGTAAAATACTCTATAGAAAGCTAAATCAGTAAGTCAGTGCACAAAAAGCTTCAGTGTATGAATAGCCAACATGAAGTTATTTTTGAATCTCTTTCAATTTATTTCCTGCTTCATTTCCTATCTAAAAAAAGCAACGCAAAGTGAGAGTAAATCTCTACAAAGAAAGGGGAATTCCCCCCTTAGATAGTCGTAGTAGTCGTCCCCATTGGAAGATTTCCCTTCACCTTCTGTTCTGGTAACAACTGTTCTTGGTGGCAATGGCTACCAGGACTAACACAAAAGGTGACTCTCCCCAACAGGGAAACTGACACCAGTAAAAGCCTGACAAGGGTTCTAACACTTTCCCAATATATACAAAACTCCAAAAAAAGCTTTGCTTGCACATTGTATTGTGAGCAAAACTTCACTCAGGCACCTAAATCATCTTCATGAAAGTTGCAATATGGCTGGATTATCTGGGTTATAGGACCTTGCTCCCTGCCTCATCAACTAATCCCATTGAGCATAGATGTCAAACTGGCAGCCCTCCAGCTGTTGGCAAACTACAAGTCCCATGAGGCAACAGCTGGAGGCCCGCCAGTTTGACACCCCTGCCATAGAGGACAGTTACACAGTACCACCACATTTGTGTAGGAATTGGTATGAAGATAATCTAAATGGAATATGTTATATATAGATCCTATATCAGCCGTACTAAACCTTTTATTCTGTGTTGTACATTATATACTCCTGACTGATGCGCTTTGTCTTCTGTTCTGTTTAATGAATACTCCTAACCATTGCACTCTATGCACATTACATACTCCTGGCTCCTGTATGCTGTGGTGTGTGTTACATACTCCTGATCACTGTACTTTGTGCTGTGTGTTACATACTCCTGATTGCTGTACTTTGTGCTGTATGTTACATACTCCTGATCGCTGTACTTTGTGCTGTACCTTACATACTCCTGATCGCTGTACTTTGTGCTGTGTGTTACATTATCCTGATTGCTGTGTGTTACATACTCCTGATTGCTGTACGTTGTGCTGTGTGTTACATACTCCTGATTTCTGTACTTTGTTCTGTGTGTTACATACTCCTGATCGCTGTACTTTGTGCTGTGTGTTACATACTCCTGATTTCTGTACTTTGTGCTGTGTGTTACATACTCCTGATTTCTGTACTTTGTGCTGTATGTTACATAGTCCTATTTGCTGTACTTTGTGCTGTATGTTACATACTCCTGATTTCTGTACTTTGTGCTGTGTGTTACATACTCCTGATTTCTGTACTTTGTGCTGTATGTTACATACTCCTATCCTGTACTTTGTGCTGTGTGTTACATACTCCTGATCGCTGTACTTGTATGTTACATACTCCTGATCGCTGTACTTTGTGCTGTACCTTACATACTCCTGATTGCTTACATACATACTCTGATCGCTGTACTTTGTGCTGTACCTTACATACTCCTGATTGCTGTACTTTGTGCTGTGTGTTACATACTCCTGATTGCTGTACGTTGTGCTGTACCTGTTACATACTCCTGATCGCTGTACTTTGTGCTGTGTGTTACATGTCCTGATTGCTGTACTTTGTGCTGTGTGTTACATACTCCTGATCGCTGTACTTTGTGCTGTACCTTACATACTCCTGATCGCTGTACTTTGTGCTGTGTGTTACATACTCCTGATCGCTGTACTTTGTGCTGTACCTTACATACTCCTGATTGCTGTACTTTGTGCTGTACCTTACATACTCCTGATCTCTGTACTGCTGTACTTTGTGCTGTGTGTTACATGCTCCTGATTGCTGTACTTTGTGCTGTATGTTACATACTCCTGATTGCTGTACTTTGTGCTGTGTGTTACATACTCCTGATTTCTGTACTTTGTGCTGTGTGTTACATACTCCTGATTGCTGTACTTTGTGCTGTGTGTTACATACTCCTGATTGCTGTACTTTGTGCTGTGTGTTACATACTCCTGATTGCTGTACTTTGTGCTGTGTGTTACATACTCCTGATTGCTGTACTTTGTGCTGTGTGTTACATACTCCTGATTTCTGTGTGTTACATACTCCTGATTTCTGTACTTTGTGCTGTGTGTTACATACTCCTGATTTCTGTGTGTTACATACTCCTGATCGCTGTACATTGTGCTGTGTGTTACATTCTCCTGATTGCTGTACTTTGTTCATCTGACAGAGAATGCTCCTAACATTTTCCCTAGTGGGTTATTTTGCTAGTTGAAAAAAAGGTGGATAATTGAGGTTGTGCTGGCCACCAAAGACACTGCTGCCTCATAGTATGACCCTAGATAATGTACTTACTGAATGGCTTCTCTTTGTCTATTAGCTCCTATCTAATTTAAAAATGAGTACATTTAGTGCCCACTGTAATTGTATTATGTTTTATTATTATTTTGTCATTACTGGAAGCATCTGCTAATACACATGAAGGACGTCTCTCCGCACTGAACTCTTATTTTAAATTAACTCCGTCTTCCTGGAGATACTTTGTGAACATTGTTTGAAGTCACTTTTGTTGCTGTCATTGATAGTTTCATATGGCCAGCCCAATGATTTCAATTCTCTGGAGTATTTGTGAAGTTCTCTTAACTTTTTAATAGTTTCTAAATGCTTACGTGAGTACTGAGCACATTTAATAGGTTTATTAAAACTTTGAGGTTAATTAAGCTCATCTTGTTTATTTTAGTGTATTCCCCTGATGAGCAAATGTAGTTCAGTCCAATTAATGTATTAAAAGGAAATCATGAATGTACAATTTCTAATCTTTTGTGATGTTGCAGCCTGAGGGCTTTTTTCATTAATAATAAATGCCACATGGCATTACCCTTCTTTAGTGAATGGATAGGCTGAATTCTGAGTGATGTCACAAGCCTCTAGTGAATGGATAGGCTGCATTCTCAATGATGTTACCGGTCCTAGTGCAGATTTTCTAAACTAGAGTTACTGTAGATGTTGCTAGGGATTCCCTGAGCACTTAGAAATTAGACTGTCAGATAAGCATCCCCTAACACCAGTGATCTACTTCTATATCTGCAAGGGAAGAATTATTCCCACTGAGCACCAATGTAAGGAGCATTCTTCCCACTGACCCCCAATGTAAGGGACATTCTTCCCACTGATCACCAATGTAAGGGACATTCTTCCCACTGATCACCAATGTAAGGGACATTCTTCCCACTGATCACCAATGTAAGGGACATTCTTCCCACTGATCACCAATGTAAGGGACATTCTTCCCACTGACCCCAATGTAAGGGACATTCTTCCCACTGATCCACCAATGTAAGGGACATTCTTCCCACTGACCCCAATGTAAGGGGACATTCTTCCCACTGACCCCCAATGTAAGGAGCATTCTTCCCACTGACCCCCAATGTAAGGGACATTCTTCCCACTGATCACCAATGTAAGGGACATTCTTCCCACTGACCCCCAATGTAAGGGACATTCTTCCCACTGACCCCCAATGTAAGGGACATTCTTCCCACTGATCACCAATGTAAGGGACATTCTTCCCACTGACCACCAATGTAAGGGACATTCTTCCCACTGACCCCCAATGTAAGGGACATTCTTCCCACTGACCCCCAATGTAAGGGACATTCTTCCCACTGACCACCAATGTAAGGGACATTCTTCCCACTGATCACCAATGTAAGGGACATTCTTCCCACTGACCCCCAATGTAAGGGACATTCTTCCCACTGATCACCAATGTAAGGGACATTCTTCCCACTGACCACCAATGTAAGGAGCATTCTTCCCACTGACCACCAATGTAAGGAGCATTCTTCCCACTGATCACCAATGTAAGGGAGCATTCTTCCCACTGACCCCCAATGTAAGGACATTCTTCCCACTGATCACCAATGTAAGGGAGCATTCTTCCCACTGATCACCAATGTAAGGGAGCATTCTTCCCACTGACCACCAATGTAAGGGACATTCTTCCCACTGACCACCAATGTAAGGGACATTCTTCCCACTGATCACCAATGTAAGGGACATTCTTCCCACTGACCACCAATGTAAGGAGCATTCTTCCCACTGACCACCAATGTAAGGGACATTCTTCCCACTGACCACCAATGTAAGGGACATTCTTCCCACTGACCACCAATGTAAGGGACATTCTTCCCACTGACCACCAATGTAAGGGACATTCTTCCCACTGATTCTCACTGATCACCAATGTAAGGGACATCTTCCCACTGACCACCAATGTAAGGGACATTCTTCCCACTGATCACCAATGTAAGGGACATTCTTCCCACTGACCCCAATGTAAGGGACATTCTTCCCACTGACCCCAATGTAAGGGACATTCTTCCACTGATCCTCCAATGTAAGGGACATTCTTCCCACTGATCACCAATGTAAGGGACATTCTTCCCACTGACCCCAATGTAAGGGACATTCTTCCCACTGACCCCCAATGTAAGGGACATTCTTCCCACTGACACCATTGTAAGGGACATTCTTCCCACTGACCCCCAATGTAAGGGACATTCTTCCCACTGATCACCAATGTAAGGAGCATTCTTCTCACTGATCACCAATGTAAGGGACATTCTTCCCACCGACCACCAATGTAAGGGACATTCTTCCCACTGACCCCCAATGTAAGGGCATTCTTCCCATTGACTACCAATGTAAGGAGCATTCTTCCCACTGACCACCAATGTAAGGAGCATTCTTCCCACTGATCACCATGTAAGGAGCATTCTTCCCACTGATCACCAATGTAAGGGGCATTCTTCCCACTGACCCCCACCAATGTAAGGGACATTCTTCCCACTGACCACCAATGTAAGGGACATTCTTCCCACTGATCACCAATGTAAGGGGCATTCTTCCCACTGACACCAATGTAAGGAGCATTCTTCCCACTGACCACCAATGTAAGGGACATTCTTCCCACTGACCACCAATGTAAGGGACATTCTTCCCACTGACCCCCAATGTAAGGGACATTCTTCCCACGGATCACCAATGTAAGGGACATTCTTCCCACTGATCACCAATGTAAGGAACATTCTTCCCACTGACCACCATTTGATCCGTTGCGCAATCGGAAGCCAGTGGAGGGATTGGCAGAGGGGGGTGGAGCCAGTGGAGGGATTGGCAGAGGGGGGTGGAGTCAGTGGAGGGATTGGCAGAGGGGTGGGGAGGACACTGAGTGGAGGACACTGAGTGGAGGTCAGTGGAGGGATTGGCAGAGGGGGGTGGAGGGCCAGTGGAGGGATTGGCAGAGGGGGGTGGCGGAGATGGAGCTGTTGGAAAGGTGAATGAGTCTGGCAGCCGTATTCAGGATGGACTGAAGCGGGGATAGCCAGCGGCGAGGCAGGCCAGTGAGGAGGGAGTTGCAGTAGTCGAGTCGTGATATGATGAGGGAGTGGATGAGCTGTTTAGTGGTTTCTGGGGTTAGGAACGTGCGGATTTTGGTGATGTTGCGGAGGTGGAGTCTGCATGAGTTTGTTAAAGATTGGACTCTGGCCTGCGGGGCGGGTTTGATGGTGGCGTTGTTGGACATGATGGAGAAGTCAATGGGGGGTGGTGTCCAGGGTGGGGGGAAGACAAGAAACTCGGTTTTGGGGAGGTTGAGTTTAAGGAAGTGGAGTGACATCCAGTCTGATATGTCACTCAGTAGGTGTGTGATTCGGGTGGAGACTGAGGGGGTGAGGTGGGGGGTTGAGAGATAGATTTGTGTGTTGTTGGCATAGAGGTGGTAGTGCTGATAATATCTGTTTATTTCTACTACTGTGCATGGTAGGTTATTCACTGTGTGTAATGTTTGTCCTCATTAGTAGTCCGGCATACCCTGACCCTGTGTGGATATAGCTGTGCATCGGAATACTATTGAAGTATCCTGAACAGAGAGCACTGTGTTCTCTGAAAATGTTTTATTAGAGGTTTTAAATACATTTTGGAGGTTTTTATCCCAGTCCCCCCATGAGATTGAGTTTTATGATTCATCTAGTCCTGCGGATACCAAACATTCAGAGCTCTGTTGCAGCGGATTTCTAACCTGGCAATTACTTCAGGTGAGCCTCTCCGTGTTGGTGTTTAATCTGTATTATAATTGATACACTTAGAAAGAATAGCATCTTCTCTGCCAGAAACATTGTCAATATGTGCTGAAGAATTATCCGCAGACTTATCTACCGCTGAGCCTTTTCCTGTCGGAGGTGTATAGCCTGATTGCTGTGTACACTGAGGTACTGTAAGTAGTATACGGTTATTTAAATGTACCCGTGAATCCACCAGCACTCATAGAGGCACCCCTGGTCCTTGTGTTTTCTTAAATTGGTAGGCAATATTCTCAGTAATGTCACTGTTCTGCAGGGCATACATCGTCAGTGATGTCACTGGTCCCTAGTGAATGGATAGGCTGCATTCTCAGTGATGTCATCGGTCTCTGATGAATGGATAGGCTGCATTCTCAGTGATGTCATCGGTCTCTGATGAATGGATAGGCTGCATTCTCAGTGATGTCAGTGAATGGATAGGCTGCATTCTCAGTGATATCACTGGTCTCTAGTGAATGGATAGGCTGCATTCTCAGTGATATCACTGGTCTCTATGAATGGATAGGCTGCATTCTCAGTGATGTCATCGGTCTCTGATGAATGGATAGGCTGCATTCTCAGTGATGTCATCAGTCTCTAATGAATGGATAGGCTGCATTCTCGGTGATGTCACCGGTCTCTAATGAATGGATAGGCTGCATTTTCAGTGATGTCATGCAGTCTCTAGTGAATGGATAGGCTGCATTCTCAATGATGTCATCGGTCTCTAATGAATGGATGGCTGCATTTTCAGTGATGTCATGGTCTCTAATAAATGGATAGGCTGCATTCTCAATAATATCACTGGTCTCTAATGAATGGATACGCTGCATTCTCTGTGATGTCATCGGTCTCTAATGAATGGATAGGCTGCATTCTCAGTGATGTCATCGGTCTCTAATAAATGGATAGGCTGCATTCTCAGTGATATCACCGGTCTCTAGTGAATGGATAGGTTGCATTCTCAGTGACATCATTAGTCTCTAGTGAATGGATAGGCTGCATTCTCAGTGATGTCACCGGTCTCTAGTGAATGGATAGGCTGAATTCTCAGTGATGTCACCGGTCTCTAGTGAATGGATAGGCAGCATTCTCAGTGATGTCATCGGTCTCTAGTGAATGGATAGGCTGCTTTCTCAGTGATGTCATAGGTCTCTAGTGAAGGGATAGGCTGCATTCTCAGTGATGTCATCGGTCTCTGATGAATGGATAGGCTGCATTCTCAGTGATGTCATCAGTCTCTAATGAATGGATAGGCTGCATTCTCGGTGATGTCACCGGTCTCTAATGAATGGATAGGCTGCATTTTCAGTGATGTCATCAGTCTCTAGTGAATGGATAGGCTGCATTCTCAATGATGTCATCGGTCTCTAATGAATGGATGGGCTGCATTTTCAGTGATGTCATCGGTCTCTAATAAATGGATAGGCTGCATTCTCAATAATATCACTGGTCTCTAATGAATGGATACGCTGCATTCTCTGTGATGTCATCGGTCTCTAATGAATGGATAGGCTGCATTCTCAGTGATGTCATCGGTCTCTAATAAATGGATAGGCTGCATTCTCAGTGATATCACCGGTCTCTAGTGAATAGATAGGTTGCATTCTCAGTGACATCATTAGTCTCTAGTGAATGGATAGGCTGCATTCTCAGTGATGTCACCGGTCTCTAGTGAATGGATAGGCTGAATTCTCAGTGATGTCACCGGTCTCTAGTGAATGGATAGGCAGCATTCTCAGTGATGTCATCGGTCTCTAGTGAATGGATAGGCTGCTTTCTCAGTGATGTCATAGGTCTCTAGTGAAGGGATAGGCTGCATTCTCAGTGATGTCATCGGTCTCTAGTGAATGGATAGGCTGCATTCTCAATGATATCACTGGTCTCTAATGAATGGATACGCTGCATTCTCTGTGATGTCATCGGTCTCTAGTGAATGGATAGGCTGCTTTCTCAGTGATGTCATAGGTCTCTAGTGAATGGATAGGCTGCATTTCACAAATCTCCAGTGAATGAATAGGCTGCATTCTTAGTGATGACACTATTCTCTGGTTAATATATAGGCTGCAATCTCAGTGATATTATCGGTCTCTAGTGAATGGATAGGCTGCATTCTCAGTGATGTCACCGGTCTCTAGTGAATGGATAGGCCGCATTCTCAGTGATGTCATCGGTCTCTAGTGAATAGATAGGCCGCATTCTCAGTGATTTTACTCTGAAATAAAAGCGCTGGCTTATTTTCCTGTTTAGTGTAATAATTTGCCAAAAGTTTGTGGATTCCTTCATCCCGTGGTGCTGACGTCTAAAATTTAAACTTAAATAAATCACATTACCAAAAAGTTCTATCCAGAGTTCAAAACTCAGAGACATCAAAGCACAGCATGTAGATAAAACCTGAACGTTTGACCAAGTACTGTAACTCCTTTTACTTCGCCGCAATCAATTCAGCATCATTTAATAAACCTTTCAAAGAATTAGCAACCCCATAATGTACATGACATTAATTTTTACAGGCTTTTAGACATAATTTAGACAAACAGAGCTAATGGGGCATGTTTACTGAGAGGCTGCATAATAGTGACGCTGCAGAATGCAGACAGGAATGATATCTGTGCAGTCGGCCCAGTTGGTGTGCGGCATCTTTGGACACAAAATGCAGAGATGTCCCTAAGCTAAGTACCGGTAGTTTCCCATCACAGTGCAAAGCTGGTATTGGAAGATGAAAGTCATTAGGACTTTTTATGATGCCCTTTGTACTTCCTTTGCTATAAAATTCACAACTCGGTAGCTCTGAGAGTCCCTGTAACCCAGTAAAAATGACGGATGGCAACCTCTGTTCTTTAGACATTTAACGGACTCTGGCTGAGTGAATTCACCCTTCTCCTGCCAGTGAGAACGAAGGGGCCACCAAGCACACATCAAAATAAATGCGATTTTAGCTTTTCGATCTGCTCTGGGTCATTTCCATTTAACCTTAGTGTGCCTTTTGTGTTTGTAGATCTTGCTGTAAAGTCAGCTATAATAAATGTTATATAATTTAAAGCAGAGCTCCAGCTTTCTCGTCAGTCTGGCACAGTTGTAGCGGCTCCTCTCCTGGACTGAAACGGCTTACTGCGATTTCACTGCACACTGGGAGCTTCTCACAATGTGCATTAGAAGCTGAAGCAAGTCAGTCAGAGCCTGCCACATTTTGTGGCTGGAGGACATCCAGCATCAAGCCTTTCCTCCCCCGCCTGATTGTTCCTGGGTCACCCCTTTCCTTTTTTTTAAATCATGGAGGCTAAGCATCACATGTGGGCATCCCTTAGGGTGGTCTGCATGAAAATACAGCCTGCCTAGGAGTGCCCAGTGGTGTATTTAGGTTTTGTGCTGCCCTAGGCAACACAAAAATTGGTGCACCCCTACACAGAAAGAGCCTGACATTGACCAATAACACCCCTGCCCTCCACCCGACCCTTCCACTACCACAGCCCCCCATACACCGGCCACCATCCCCCATGGCAAGAGAGAGAAAGACACTCACCTTCACACCTCCAGACATCCCCAGTAACGAGAGTCAGGCTGTGCATACACCATCATGAAACCCACAGCATCTCTCGGAACCCACCAGGTCCCCATGCCGCATATGTCCCATCTTCTGTCCCTTCTTCCAAGGGGCAGTGCTGCCCCCCCCCCCCAAAAAAAAAGTCCACCCTAGGCAAATGCCTTGTATTAAATACACCCCTGGGAATGCCCTCTCCTTCAGATGATATCTACCTGTGGGTGGGGGTCTAGCTGCACCCATGCACGTGGGGTAAGACTTCGCCCAACGGCGTGCTCACCAGCGCTCGGGACCTGGCAGAGGCTGCGGTCATTTGAAGAGTCAAAAATTAAGGCAGGCCCTGACTCAGAGATTAGCCACTAGTGTGTAGTAGTAATGTATGGAGCTCCTCCATAAGATGTTTCGTCCCAAGTAACTACACACTGTACTGATGTATGCAATGCATTTGGAGGGGCATGTAGAGCCATTGCCCACTCCACCAATGTACCTCTTCTACCTCACTCCCAGTAATGAAATGAAACCCTGCCGGACACATTGCATGGGTCCCATATGTGTCCTGAGGTAACTCTTTCCTTCCCCATACCTAGTAATCAGGCAGTAGATCTCTGTAATGCTAGTCTGCTCCCAGTGATCAGAGGAGATGGACAGCTAGGGAGGGAGTCAGAGCGCCGACACCCTCACTACCGGAGGACCTGTCACCTAACCAGGTACAACGCCAGAGACTGGTTGCTGTAGCTGCTCTTCATTGCGGTTACCCATGGAAACTTCCTAAACTTCCTCCTCTTCTTAGCCTTGTGGGTTAACCTTTTGGTAGTGGTGTTACACCCCACAGTGCTATTATAGACCCAGCTACTTTAGGAATACGCCCAACATGTACCCCTTGAGTAACTTTAGACCAGGCTCAAAGTGGTTGAAATGACTTCTACTGGAAACTTGGCACATGTACAAACATCCTTTCCCTAACTACACTTGTGTCAGTCCTAGCATACCAGCATAGGAGTAGTTCCCAGGGGAAAAGTCCATAAATAGTAAAACTCAAATGGAGATGTCCAGGCTATGGGTGCCCCGGAAATACAGGTCCCTGCAGACTGCAACAAGGCTCCTGTTCTTGGTCCAGTCCTCGTCCACCTCTCTCTCTCTCTCTCGACCCAAACATTTTTCCTTTTATAATGCACAGGAGGGAGGCTGGACTCCAGAGAAAAGCCCTTGAACATACTCAGGGAAGGTGGAAAAAATATTAACCCTTTCCCCCTGACCTGGGCAGCCAAGTAACTAACATTCAATACAGTAGGCCACCTGCTTACATTCCCATCTATGCATTTTGATATTTGCATTGCTCCTCCCAGGGGACATCCTACTTGCATGAGGGCTCTTGAGGCAGGGTGCTGTGATGGGAAGCTATGCACAGCGCCCTGCTGGCCTCTCCATCTAGCCATGATCTACCTGCAATGCATAGGGAGGCACAGAGACCTAGTGGAACTTTTGGATCGGACTACCAGTCTTCGCTCCGTACGTGCATCTGTGAGCAATGGCCACCAATAAATCTGCTGACGATTGGCTGGTTTTCCTTCCTTGGACCACTTTTGGTCGGTCCTGTCCACTGCAGACCAGGAACATCTCACAAGAACTGCCGCTTAGGAGTTGTTCAGTTGTCTAGCCATTACAATTACATCCTTGTCAAAGTCCTCAACTCTTTACGCTTGCCCAATTGTTTTGTCTTCAACATATCAGCTTCAGTTCCTATGCTGCCTAATATATCCCATCCACTTTCAGGGGCCATTGTAATGAGGTAATGAATGTTATTTACTTTACCTGTCAATGGTCAGAACTTTATGGCTGATCGGTATATATGTGAACTATTGTATTTGCTGAAAATATGTCATTTTGTGATGTACACATGGCAGGACAGTGTAAGGGTGCTTGTATCCAGCTGTGTTCTGTCTTCCCTCCATCTCCATCCTGTCACTGGAGAAGGAGAAGATCACTCTAAAGCTGAAGTTTAAACTGCTTTTATGTTGCCTCACATAATTCCTCCTTTTTCTTTCATCATCACACGCGAATGGTCTTATTGATCTATTGAGCTCAAACCTTTCTGTTTTTATTACATACCTTATTTTTGACCCAGTGTTATGATCACTAGGTCACTATGATTCTATATTCAATGCAGGCAGATCTTGACTGATGCCAGTAGGGTACTGTAAATACCAGGTAGCCATTTCAATGTTCACATGTCAGTTAGAGACTCCATGACCGGGCAAACTGAAATTCAATGAATGAGTGGGATGGACCAGGGACAGACATGCTGAAAGGAATGATTCTGGGTGTACTGCAGCCAGAGAATGACGTGGCTTCATCTGGCTTGCTGCAGCTTCCAATGCACATTGTGAGAAGCTCACAGTGTACAGTGAAATCAGAGTAAGCCATTTCAGTCCAGGAGAAGAGCCAGTACACCTGTGCAAGACTGAGGGGGAGGAGCCGGTACACCTGTGCAAGACTGAAGGGAAGGAGGCAGTACACCTGTGCAAGACTGAAGGGGAGGAGCCAGTACACCTGTGCAAGACTGAAGGGGAGGAGCCAGTACACCTGTGCAAGACTAAAGGGGAGGATCCAGTACACCTGTGCAAGACTGAAGGGGAGGAGCTGGTACACCTGTGCAAGACTGATGGGGAGGAGCCGGTACACCTGTGCAAGACTGAAGGGGAGGAGCCGGTACACCTGTGCAAGACTGAAGGGAAGGAGCTGGTACAACTGTGCAAGACTAAAGGGGAGGATCCAGTACACCTGTGCAAGACTGAAGGGGAGGAGCCGGTACAACTGTGCAAGACTGAAGGGGAGGAACCAGTACACCTGTGCAAGACTGAAGGGGAGGAGCCAGTACACCTGTGCAAGACTGAAGGGGAGGATCCAGTACACTTGTGCAAGACTGAAGGGAAGGAGCCAGTACACCTGTGCAAGACTGAAGGGGAGGAGCCGGTACACCTGTGCAAGACTGAAGGGGAGGATCCAGTACACTTGTGCAAGACTGAAGGGAAGGAGCCAGTACACCTGTGCAAGACTGAAGGGGAGGAGCCGGTACACCTGTGCAAGACTGAAGGGGAGGAGCTGGTACAACTGTGCAAGACTGAAGGGGAGGAGCTGGTACAACTGTGCAAGACTGAAGGGGAGGGGCTGGCACACCTGTGCAAGACTGAAGGGGAGGAGCCGGTACACCTGTGCAAGACTGATGGGGAGGAGCCGGTACACCTGTGCAAGACTGAAGGGAAGGAGCTGGTACAACTGTACAAGACTAAAGGGGAGGATCCAGTACACCTGTGCAAGACTGAAGGGGAGGAGCCGGTACAACTGTGCAAGACTGAAGGGGAGGATCCAGTACACTTGTGCAAGACTGAAGGGAAGGAGCCAGTACACCTGTGCAAGACTGAAGGGGAGGAGCTGGTACACCTGTGCAAGACTGAAGGGGAGGCTGGTACAACTGTGCAAGACTGAAGGGGAGGAGCTGGTACAACTGTGCAAGACTGAAGGGGAGGGGCCGGCACACCTGTGCAAGACTGAAGGGGAGGAGCCGGTACTCCTGTGCAAGACTGAGGGGAAGGCTGAAGGTCAGATTTTATGATGATCCACACTTTTGGGTAGGCAGTACAATTAAAATAGAATTCAATACAGGAGGATTCAGAGGGCCCTGCTCATTAGAGATTACAATTTAGGAGGGAGGGTCAACTGATACAAAAGGTAATAGCTGTAGGTCAGGGGGTGTCAAACTGGTGGCCCTCCAGCTGTTGCAAAACTACAAGTCCCATCATGCCTCTGAGTTTGGAGTCATGCTTGTAACTGTCAATCTTTGAATGCCTCATGGGACTTGTAGTTTGGCAACAGCTGGAGGGCCACCAGTTTGACACCTGTGCTGTAGGGGGATGAGCCGATGGAAAAAATAAAACTTCCATTGTTAGGTGGGGGCAAAATAGGATTCTCTGAAGAGAAGGGTTTTTGGAGATCGTCTGAAAGCAGAGCAGAAGATAGTTGGACAGATTGGGGTAGGGAGTTCCAAGGACAGGAGAGGTTTGGGAAAAGTCCTGGAGATGAGCATGGCAGGAATTGACGAGGGAGCTAGAGAGCAGGATGTCTTGGGAAAAATGAAGAGAGCGATTAGATCAGTATTTAGAGCCTGGGTTAGTGATGTAGCAGGGGGCTGAGCTGTGGATGGCTTTGTAAGTTGTTCGTATTTTGAATTTAATTAGTTGGGTGAGCAGAAACCAGTGGAGGCAGCAATATAAAGTACAATGGAGCCTCACTGTGCTGTTACCAATCTCTGGTGTATTGGGGATCATGGAGTGTTAATATAAAGACATTATAAACATGAAAGCAGTTTTTAATACATAAATGCCCATTGAGCCCACATTGTGCTTGGTGAGAAAGAATCAAATGAGCATTTTGTTGAGTTTCTATTCTGTTGCTGTTGAAGAATGAAAGACCCAAATGTCATGGAAGACTTCGGTTTTCTACCTCCTGACGTTTGTTTGTTAGTTGGGATATGACCGGTGTAAAATAGGACTTGACACTGACACAGATGGTTGTGAAGATCCTCAGATTGCATTGCCTGTCTCTATCGTTGCTTAGCAGCCCCTTCCTACATTTTTTATGTCAATTGTACCAACGTTCTATCAGCTGCAGAGCAGTCCTTCATTGTAAACAGAATACCAGTTTCTTTCCAGTCAGTGATTGGCTATCAAGGAAGTCAGTATATGATGGTGGCTATATATATTGTGGCAATTATTACAATAAAACTCATCCCAGGCCAGAGAAAGGCAAGGCAGAGGTCACAAAGAGTACATCAGACCACAATGTTCCAGCACAACACAAATGCTCCCAAGTAGCAAACTGATGATATCATCTCAGCCTAGGCAGAGTCACTTGATCAGAGCTAAAACTTAGTTATAAAAATGAGCCCGTTGCTGGAAAGTTTGACATGCCAAGAATTTATTTTTTGCAGACCTGGAAAGTTTTTGAAAGATCCACCTTAATACCTTCTGAGAGAAGGTAAATTAGACATATACAGGCTTTAGTTTACATTAATGATATATTATTATTATTTTTATTATACAGGATTTATATAGCGCCAACTGTTTAGGTAGCACTTTACAGCATAAGGGCAGACAGTACAATTACAATACAAATGAATACAGGAGGATTCAGAGGGCCCTGCTCGTTAGATGTACAGTTAGGTCCATATACAGTATATTTGAACACAGGCACAGTTTTAGATTTTTCAGGTATTTACCAAAACATATTCAAGCTATAATTCTATAGTGGATATGGGCTGAAAGTGCGCACTCTCAGGTTTAATTTGAGGGTGTATATACATCCAAATTGGAGGAAGGGTTTAGGAATTACAGCTCTTAAGAGTAGCCATCCCCCTTTTTTCAAGGGACCAAAAGTAATTGGACAATTGAAAATAATCATAAATAAAATGTTCATTTTTAATATTTTGTTGAGAATCCTTTACTGGCAATGACTGCCTGAAGTCTGGAACCCATGACATGACCAAAGACCCGGTGTCCTCCTTTCTGATGCTTTGCCTGAAGTCTGGAACCCATGGATATGACCAAAGACTGGGTGTCCTCCTTTCTGATGCTTTGTCTGCAGTCTGGAACCCATGGACATGACCAAAGACTGGGTTTCCTCCTTTCTGATGCTTTGTCTGCAGTCTGGAACCCATGGACATGACCAAAGACTGGGTTTCCTCCTTTCTGATGCTTTGTCTGAAGTCTGGAACCCATGGACATGACCAAAGACTGGGTTTCTTTCTTTCTGCTGTAACTGCAGCTGTCTTCAGTTGTTCTTTGTTTGTGGGTCTTTCTGCCTTTAGTTTTGCCTTCAGTGAAATGCATGCTCAGTTGGGTTGAGATCAGGTGATTGACTTGGCCATTGCAGAATATTCCACTTCTTTTCCTTCAGAAGCTCCTGGGTTGCTTTTGCAGTGTGTTTTGGATCATTGTCCATCTGTACTGTGAAGCGCCATCCAATCACCTTGCTGCATTTGGCTGAATCTGGGCTGACAGTATATCTGTAAACATTGCAGAATTCATCCGGCTGCTTCTGTCTTCTGTTACATCATCAATAAACACCAATGACCCAGTGCCACTGGAAGCCATGCATGCACATGCCAGCACACTGCCTCCACCATGATTTACAGATGACGTTGTGTGCTTTGGATCATGAGCTGTTCCAAGCCTTCTCCACACTTTTTTTTTTAATTCTGGTACAGAGTAATCTTAGTTTCATCTGTCCAAAGAATGCTTTTCCAGAACTGGTCCGGCTTTTTTAGATGTTTTTTTGGCAAAGTCTAATCTGGCTTTTCTATTCTTCAGGTTTATGAATGTTTCGCACCTTGTGGTGAACCCTCTGTACAGTATTTGCTCTCGTTAAGTCTTCTCTTGATTGTAGACTTTGACAATGATGCGCCTTCACTTGAAGTGTAGTGTCCTTCACTTGTCTGGATATTGTCAATGGGTTTTTCTTTATCATAGAGAGGATCCTGCGATCATCCACCACTGTTGTTGCTGAGCTCACCAGTGCATTCTTCTTTCCTCAGAATGTACCAAATTGTTGATTTGGCCACTCCTAATGTTGCTGTGATCTCTCTGATGGATTTCTTTAGTTTTTGAAGCCTTACAATGGCCTTTTTCGCTTGTATGGATAGCTCCTTTGAACGCATGATGTAAGTTTACAGCAATAGATTCCAAATACAAATACCACACTTAGAATCAACTCCAGACCTTTTACCTGCCTAATTGATGAAGAAATAATGAAGGAGTAGCCCACACCTGGCCATGAAACAGCTTTTGATTCAATTGCCCAATTACTTTTGGTCCCTTGAAAAAAGGGGGGTGGCTACTCTTAAGAGCTGTAATTCCTAAACCCTTCCTCCAATGTGGATGTACATACCGTCAAATTAAACCTGAGAGTGTGTACTTTCAGCCCATATCCATTATATAACTATAGCGTGAATATGTTTTGGTAAATACCTGAAAAAAACTACAATTGTGCTGTGTCCAAACATATATGGACCTAACTGTACACTAAAAGAAAGGAACCATATTGCTTAGTCATTGTGCCTTCTTCTTCAAGTGGTAAATCTATAAATCTAGCAAAAGTACGAATCTTTTCAGTGCTGTCAGAGATCGGGGTGTGACCAGAAATGTGTGGACTGACACAGGGAAGTAGCAGGCTTCAGGAACACAGGCGTAGTCAGGGCTGGAGAGGTAGAATGGTCAGGCGGGCCGTAAGGTACTGTGAGGCACCGCTCTCTAGTGACCCACAGAATAGGACTCCCCAGGGCGCAGAGTCTAAGCCCCAGTCTGCCTTTTCACCAGAGCCCCTGATGGTGGGGATGGACTTGGCACAGGACTGAGACCAGGTCGCGGCCCCTGAGTGCACCCAACTGTGGTGGAGGGGTCCGCCGAGGGTATGTACCGGGGAAAGCCTGATGTGAAGGGGCTGGCAGGTTTGGACAGTAGTGACTGGATCCGTGCGGGATGGATGGATCATCTGGGTAGCGTCAGGCGTAGTCAGGCAGGCCAGGTCAGCAACGTGCGGGCAGTGAGGTACCAGAGGAGCAAGCAGAGAATAGTCAGGGTCACAAGCCGGGTTCAGTAACTCACGGGCAGCGCGGTACAGAGGATCAGGCAGAAGGATGGTCAGGCAAGCCAGGGGTTCAACAGGAGACGGTCAGCAGAGGTCAGGATCAAAGCAGGGTCAGCAACTAGGCAGATAGGCAGGAACACAGGATACCAGGTACAGGGGCTCATGGAAAACATCACCAAGGCACTGACTGCAGGTCTGGCCATTCCTTAAATACACCTCCTGCAATCAGCCTCAGGTGATGGCTGCCTGCAGGAGTGAGCTTCTGATTGCTGAGAGCACCCGCTTGACAGCCCTGGTACTGCAGCCCACATGGCAGGTGAGTCCCACCACCAGTGCTGAGTCCATTCCTGACAAGTGCCCGGACAAGAGTAAGACAATCATATAACAAAATGTATTACATCCTTATCCTAAAATGTCAAAGGTGAGTTACAAACAGCCAATAAAATCAACATTAATGTACTAAGCTCCTCTTCAGCCACAACATGGTCCCCTTAGTTGGTGTCTTGCGTTACACAGTGATGAAAAGGGCTTGTGAAATCACTTGGGAACATGTGCAACTTGCCCTCTACAGCACTTGCCGCTTCTTCAGGAAGAGTAAGAGCATTAAACATCTAAAAAGGAGCAAAACAATATTTACAAATTGTACATAGTTAATAAGAAAGA